ATAAGTTCCAAACTCCTATAGGCGAAAGATTCTAAGTCAGGAGGTGAGAGAATCAGATTTCAAAAAAGATGGGGGCAGATTTGCCGGGTGAGGTGGCGGAACGCGGAAGCTAAGCTGTGGCTGAGGGGTGTGATGACGGATATTACCTTTTCCCCAAGGACCCTCTCCTCGGGCAGAACTTCTCAACCAAGCTGCAGACCCAGTCTGTGTCAGAGTGGGCGAGGGGGGCCCACCAAAGAGTTCCCATTCCTGGCCACGGCCAGGCCAGTCCCCAGCGCCTCTCAGCCTTAGAAGAACCTTCGGGACCTCCGAGCTCCCTTGACCTCACACCACGCCAGCCTGTGGACTGGCCATCCTCAGCGTCCTGGGATGTTACCTCAGCTCCTTACACGTGGACAGGGGCTTCCCACGTGACTAAAATGCAGCCCCCTGAGAAAAACAGCAGCCTTGTCTGTTGCTAGTGGACGTGTGCAGTGGTGCAGCCCCCGTAGAAAATAGCCTGGCAGTCCCTCAAAATGTTAAACATAGAATCGCAGTATGATCTCAGGATTCCACTCCTGGGCATACACCCGGGAGAAATAAATACATTTTGTGCAGAAAGCATGCGTCCACACAAAAACTTGGGCAGAAATGTGCATAGCAGCATTATTCACAATAGCCAGAAAGCGGAAACAATCCAGTTGTCTGCCAATGGACGAATGGATAAAGAAAATGCATATCCATACAAAGGAATATTATTCAGCTACAAAAAAACAATGAAAAACCGATATAACGTGGATGAACCTCAGAAACAGTAAGTGAGTGAAAGAACGCAGACACAAAAAGTCATATACCGTATGATTCCATTCATATGAAATGCCCAGAATAGACATTCACAGACAAAGCAGTTCAGTGGTGGCCAGGGGCTGGGGGAAGCGGGATGGGGAGTGACTGCTAATGGGGACAGGGTTTCATTCTGGGGTGGTAGAAATGTTCTGAAATTAGTGGTGATATGAACATACTAAAAAACATGGACTTGTACACTTTAAAATGGTGAATTTTATGCTGTGGGAATTATATTTCAATTAAAAAAAAAAAAGCGCAGCCCCCTCCCTTAATTATACCTGGGCAGCACTAGTCGATTTCTTGTTGGAGTGGTCATAGATGGCTTTCACCAAGCATAAAAGCCTGGCCTTGAAGATGAGCCAGCTCAATGAGCCAGGTGTTCACATCCAACAATGGCTCAGGTGAGACAGACGGTACCAGATGTCCTGGAGGAACAGTGCGGGCCAGCTCTCCTGGAGCACGGAGTCCCTTGTGGAAGACTAGATGACGATCAGCCTTGAATGTGAAGCCAAGGGGTTTGGACCTTATCTTGTCAGCAGCCAGGGAGCCATGGAAGGTTTCTGGGGAGAGTACCAGTCAGACTTGGTGATGGCTTTGGCTGTCATATCCTGGTTGGAGGGATGCTGTCCAGTGTCTCCTAAAGGCCTGCCATCGGCCACAAGCCCTGGGATCTGGCAAGGGGCCGGGGGAGAAAGCAAGGAGGAGCGACATGAGGGAGGGTGTTGCCTGGAACCCCGCCTGGTGGCTGAACCTCCCCTTCTCTCTCCTTCAGATCCTGGTGAAGACCATGATACGGAAGCGTTCCTTCGGGAACCCGTTCGAAGGCAGCCGGAGGGAGGAGCGCTCGTTTTCAGCGCCCGGAAACCTGCTCCTGTGAGTGTCCGCCTGTCTCCCTCCGGGGCGGGAAGCTGGGGGCTGCACGCAGGCCAGCCTCGCTCGGCCCGCTCTGCCTGGGCCCGTCCCTGGAGCGGTACTGTCTGGAAAGGCTCGGACCAGACGCGCCCTGTGCGCGGGAAGTCGGAGCAGCTGCTGGCTGGGGTCTCACCCCACCCCGGGCTCCATCCGCCTCCTTTTGCGGATGGCTCATCCACCCTGAAGCTTTACCTTTCTCAGGGGACTTGCACTTTAACTGGGGAGGCTCTTGACAATCAGAAGGCACTTTCGTGGCCCAGAAGCAGGTGTGCTTGATGGCGGGTTTTCGGCCCCGTGTTGGGTGAGCAAGCCATTCTCACTCATGGGTCTCTACATGTCGCGGCGGAGCAGTGTCCTGCTCATAAGTGCCCTGGGAACAGCACTGTGAAGCTGGCGTTTGGGGCCTGAGTGTCTCTGGGGTGGGGGTCAGGTATCCCGTGGATCTCAAGTGTCCCTTCTCACTTCCCTTTTCCCTTCCCTCTGGTGATTCTAGCAAAAAACCAACCAGGGAGTGGGAACCCCTGTCTGAGCCCAAGGTAACGCCTGCCTGCCTGTAGCCTCTGCCGGGGCCTGGGGGCGGGGGCAGCTGCAGAGCACGGGGCATCCTCACCCAGGCGGACGGTCCCCCCTGCTGTGCCCAGGCTCACCTTGGGCCTCCGGACCCAGGATGAAAATGGGCATCCAGGGCTCAGACCCGACGGCGGGCCGTGCATGTGAGCTGGGGCTGCGGGTGCATGGCGCTCCGCCCGCGATGCCTGTGAATCCACCCAGGTCTTCCAACCCAGCCGGGCACCCACATATGCTCAGGGCATGTCCATGGCATTGAAGCTCTTGTCACAGGGCCCCGTGGCTGCCCCTGCTCTGGGTCAGCGTGGTCAGAGCATAGGCCAGGCATGCTGCGCCCCCGCGGCTCTTCAGCATCTGCCCTTTCTTCTCACTAGTGTAGACCTAGAAAATAAGTCCCCTTCCAGCCTGCAGCAAAGGAGGATCTGGACCTTTTCATCCAGTCAGTCATCCCTCTTCCAGAAAGTGTTACTAGTCCCTTTCAGGATAGATGAACGTTTTTGTCCCTGTAAGACTAAGATGACAGTACTTGGCACCCCTTCTGCCACTCACCCCTCCAGTGCCCGTGGCAGGGAGCAATCCTAGTACCAGCTGAGCCCAACTTACCCCAAAGACCTCAGCTGGGCGCTCCAGACAGCCATTTCTCTGGTTTAAAAGCAGCTTTACTGAGATATAATTCATATAGCATATAATTCACCTGTTTAGACTGCGTAATTCTTTGTTGTTGTTTTTTTACTATAGTCACAGTTGTTCACCATCTCCACAATTAATTTGAGAACATTTTCATTAGCCCAAGAAGAAACCCAGCACCCTTAGCTCTCACCACCCACCTCCCCTATTCCCCAGCAACCACTAATCTACTTTTAGTTTCTGTAGATTTGGTTATTCTGGATATTTCCTATATAGAATCATACAGTATGTGGCCTTTTGTGTCTGGCTTCTCTGACACAGCATCACGTTTTTAAGGTTCATCTATAGTGTAGCATGTCAGTGCTCCATCCCTTTTTATGGCTAAATAATATTCCATTGTATGGAGAGGTGACATTTTATTTATTTGGTGATGAACACTTGCCACTTTTTGGCTATTACGAATGAGTAATGCTGACGTGAACATTCTTGTTCAAGTGGCAGCTTTTTCTCTTGGTTAAGAGTTGGCTTATGAGATGAAATTTACTGGCCACTCATACTATAAGAGTCAGAGGCGTAAATGGTAACATGGGAAGAATGCTCGTTTGGGGATTATTTATGCTTCTCTGCAGCGGGGAAAGTGGCAATTAGCAATCAGAGCTGGTCGACGACAGCCTTATGACAGCTGCCTCAGTCCCTGCTGGATGTTCCCGGATGTCTCTGCAGCCAGATGACAGGGTGGCTCTGCCTGCAGTTCAAGCCTCACAGGGTGACAGGAAGTGGAAGCAAAACGGGCTGGTCTTGACTCAGTCTTTCTCTTCTCAACTTCAGTTTTAGGGTTTGCCTCCCGTCTGTGTGCAAGTTTGTCTTTTTTTTTTTTATGAATCAAAATTGCAAGACACCAACAGACTGAGATTGGCCCAGATGGCTTTACTGCCCCTTTATTCCCTCACCTGCAGCCCCAGGAACACCTGGAGGTTACCTGCCCTTGTCCTCAGCCTGCAGTTGGGATGCTTTGGTTGTCTGAATGGTCCAGCACTCTGGAGCTCATGGGGCTTAGTCATTGGAGGCCTTGTCCCAAGTCCCACCATCTGTTACAGTGAGACCCGCCCGGAGGAGCAGGCAGCTGCTAGGACAGAAACCGAGGACCTGTTTGGGCATCTAGTGACAGTTGCCTCCCCGGGAGACTTGACCCTCTCTTCTTTGGCATAAACATAAAGCCAACTCTTTTTTTTTTTTTTCAACAAAGAGGGTTTTCTTCCTAGAAATGTACAGACACCATGCTTTCCATTGTGCAGGAGCAGTTTCTCTTCTGACCAGGGGCATACAGTGGACATTAGTCCTGTGTGACAAGCCCAGGGGCTTCCCTTAGGAGCACGGCTTTGCCCGATGGTGTGGCTCATGGCTTGGGCCCCTCCTTAGGGATTTGCCTTCACATCTCCGCATCACTCCTCCCATGTTCGTCACCCCAGACAGCTCTAGCTGGAGTGCTTTGGGATATGGCCGCTCTGGGACACGAGGACACCTTTCCCCTCACTGGCTTGGTCGAGTCTGCTCTGGTCACTCACATCAGGGAGAGGAGGGGCCCTTCCCTCAGTCCGAGGTGTCCCGTAGGCCTGCGTGCAGGGACAGGTCTGTTGACAATTATTTCCTGAAGGCTGGCTGTGGGCCAGGCCCAGCCCAGGCGGTCAGGCTTGCTGCCCCCCAAGAAGTTCACCTGGTGATGGAAAACAAATGTCATGGTTCCTGCCCAGCAAGAGCTTATAGCCTGGGGTGGGGAGCAGAATTCAAGGTACCCAAAAAAACCCCTCAGGGGACGGACCTCAACGTGGGTCCCACACAGTAGTATGCGCCGTGATTTTAGGTGTTAGGCAGATAGGTTCGCATCTATTTTTATAGTCCCTTGCTATCTTTGGCAGATGACGCTGGTTTTCCATTTACGGAGCGGATACCAAGTGTCTTTTTGAAAATTTTACATAAGCAAGACCAAAAAAAAAGGCGGGGGGGCCGGGGGGTAAGGAGAGAATCTAAAAGAAGCGGCTAAGTACATAAGGCTCAAAAAAAAAGCCCGCCCCGCCGCCCCGCCCCGCCCCGCCCCGTCCTAACGCGGCTTTTCTGTTCGGTGAGCAGGAAGCAAGGCAGCGAAGACAGCTTCCCGGGCCCCGACCCGCCCCCCGTGGGGGAGGAGGAAGTGCTCTTGTGAAAGGCGGCAAAAAGCGTGGAGAGTTGGGGGGCCCCGGCCCCGGCCCGCGGCCCGCGCACGCGCATGCGCCCTCTGTGGCCGGAGCAGGCGATGGAGTAGCTGCCGGACCGCCCCGCGACCTCGCATGCTGGCGTCTCACCTCCCGGCCCGCGCACGCTGCGTTTCCATAGCAGCATGTCCTACGGAAACCGAGCACGTGTGCAGAGCCTTGGCCGTCATCTCTGGTTGTTGTTTTTGTTTGTTTGTTTGTTTCTTTTTCCTTTGTTGTTTTTAAAGGGGACAAAAAAAAAAAGACTTGACTCCATGACGTCGACCTTGGCCGCTGGCTGGCTGAACGGGCGGGTGTGAGGAATCGCAGACCCAGAGCCACGTGCATTTCGGGACAATTGCTTTTTAAAACGTTTTTATGCCAAAAAAAAAAAAAAACCTTCGTCGTGAACTCAGAACCATGTCAGCTATACCAAGTGAATGTGTGTGGGGTTTGAAACTCATGTAAAACTGGCAGAAGACTATCGGGGAAGTGGTCTGAGACCACAGAGTTAGTCACCGCTGCATTTGAAAGGAAGGGGGAAGAGTGGGCGTGACTTCTCGCACAAACCCCAAACCTCAAACCATGCCACCTTCCAGAGCTGAGGACTCAAGGAGTCAGGGCAGGGCCAGCCCTCAGTAGCTGCAGGGAGCATTGGTGCAACTTATTTGTAAGAAGGACTTTTAACATTTTTCTATGGTTAGAATTGTAGTCAGGAAAACGAAAAGGGCTTGATGCTTAACTGCTTCATAAAGGCGATTTTCCAGCCCTAGAAGGGCATCAGCGGTTGTGGTGTGAGAAGTTTTGCCTAAAGGACCGAACAGGTCCTTTATGACAGCCGCTTAAGGGTTTCTGAAGTTATTAGCTGAGCGCTCTAGTAAATCTGTTAAATTTCAAAAAAACTCCAGGGTGAAATCCTACACTTCCATGTACATTACATGGCTTAAGAGTAAACAAACAAAAATTTTCAATTCTCCAACTAGGCTGAACTCCAGAGGAGTTCAGAAATCACTTAGAGCTTCCGGAATATATTCCGTGGCTTCAGGCATACGGATCAGAGTTGGAGCCAATGAAACCCATGCTTGTATATTAGCAGCTTAGCTTGTTTGTAACCTGTGTATTCTATGGACTGCCAAGGTTTTGTTTTCTTAAAAATACTAGCTGAGTGTTGTAGTTAGTGAAATACTTCCCCATTTTCTGGAGGGCCATTTAGGAAATACTTTCATTCGACTGAGACACAAATGATCGTTCTTACCAGCAAAGCCCTGTTGGGATCTACACGAGAACTTCGGGGCACCCTTTGAGAGAAGGCTATTGAAACCCAGAGCACTCCTCGGGGTTCAGGTGCACAAGGGCTTGGCACAGGATGTTCCCTTTTGTAGCCAAAAGTCCAGAAAGAAAAAGTTTACCTTTTTGACTTCCACTTCATATTGGGAAGTTTGGTTGCAGTTCAACTTCTTCCAGAGCCACACACGTGGGTGAGTCTGAAGTTCAAGTTGTAAGACAGCAGGAAGGACTTTGCCCTGGAAGATTCTCAGTATTTTGTGGTCCCTGACTTGGTGGAAACAGTAACCAAGCTCAGAAGAGCGTACTTTCCTGTAGTTTCTGTTTGATCAGTGTTGATATGAGGATTCTTTGCAGACACAGTGACACCAGGCCACGTGTCTCCCCGTCCAGCATGTTCACAGAGCCCAGGCGTTCTTGGCTTCCACAGATCTCCATAAGCTCCTGACTGTCGTCGTAGCCGGACTTTTCTTGCTATCTTATAATCAGTACACAATTAGGGGCTGCTAGTTTCCGAGAGCAAAGGACACCCGCCTGCTGGAGGGTCCTCCTGCCTGCTTGCTTGCTTTTTGTAACCTAGTACTTCCTCTTGCCCCTCTGTGCTTGTTTAAAGTTATGAGCTGCACCCCTTCCGGGAGCAACAGATGGGGTCTGGTAAGTTTGCAATAAGCACCTTGCAGTGGTTAAAGTCAGCCATTCCTTAGTCCTTGTCCCAGATGGAGTGTGTGGACTCCGGCCTGGCCATGTGGCTTGCCCAGGAAGGGCTTCTGCAGAACTCCCGTGTTTACACGACTGCATCAGGCAATGCCATTAATTCCCCCCACAAAACTCTCCATGTTAGGTTTCATATGTGGAATGCCAGCTGTCAGGCAGCTGTTTAGGCGGGTGGGTTGGGGGAGGCCCAAGTTCATAACTTTTTTTTTTTTTTTTTTTTTTACAAAGAAACACCAAAGAAAGTTATGGAAAGGAACTGCCACCCCCAAAATATATAAGCAGAGAGGGCTGTAGCACAAAGCATTAACTACCACTGTCTTGGAGCACAAAAGCCAGCTCTACTGGGAAAGGGGAGAAGCTGTTAGGAGCAGCTTTTTCAGAGGAGCAAAAACAATATGCATCAGTTTTTTTCTATTGCTGGCTCATCTGTGGGACCAATTTGGTATAAGCAACCTGTGGCCCGCATCTGTGGCCTTGAAGGAAGCACAAGCTCTCTCCCTGTCTTTGCCTGTTCCACTTCCCCCATCTATTCTGCAGGCTCACCAATGGCTCCCGTAAAGCCTTATCTTGCCCCTTGTTGGCACTGGGGGCCGGAGAGGCTGTCTCCCTACTGGTCTGGCCTTTCCCGTAAGGTAGGGCTCCCATCCTCAAAGCCTTTTTTGGAACAAGGAGGCAAATACCTGTGTGTTTAGACACCTAGGCTCCACTGTCGCTCTCATGCATCTTCCAAAGGGGAGCTTCCTGTTGCCAGGGAGGAAGAACCATGACCTCCACTTGCTTCTAAGGTGCTAGGGAAGGTTTCAAGGTCGTCGGTTCCCATCTTCTCTCCAGCTTTCTGGGCTGAGTTTCGTGGGACTGCTGACTTTTCTATTCTGTGATCTATTTACTGCCCGATGCTTGTTTTATTCCTGATCCTTTCTACTATGCATTTTCCTTTTATCAGGTGTACAAAGTTAAATACTGTGTATTTATCACTTAAAAATACATGAACTTAAGAGAAAAAATAAGCCTTTGGTGTTTTTCCACAGATGTTTAAGCTTCTCTGTAAACTTGAAATAAACAGACAGCAAAATGGTGCAAAGTCTGGGCCTCTTTGGGATTTTTCTGTTGGTGGTTGTTTAAGTCAGCGCTTTCTAGGACATCTGTCCTTACGTCTGTTTTCCTTCCTTAGGCTGACGGCGAGATCAGATGCCCAAGTCAGGGCTAATGTAGCCAGCATGACATTATTCATCCCTAATTTAAGCATGTGGTAGTGTCTCACTACTCAAAGCGTGGTACCTAAAACTAGCAGCAGCAGCATCACCTGGGAGCGGGTTAGAAATGCAGAGCCGCAGGCCTCACTTCCACAAGACTTACCAGGTGGCTTATCTGCACGGTGAAGGCTGAGAAGCACTGCTCTAGCTGGATAGTAATCGCTCGGTTCTCCTGATGGAGACCAAACCTGTGAGCAGCTGCGGGAGTGGTTGTAATCCCACACTGAGCAGGTCCTGTGAGGAGCCGTGCCACATGACACTTCACCCCACGAGGAAGGTATTAACTCCGTTTCATGGACCGTCAGCTGAAAACAGGCTCAGAAAAGGTAAGTCATTTGAGTTTACAGCATCTCGACAGGTGCCGGTTTTCATGCCGTCTGGAGACTGTTTTAGAACTGGATCCTTTTTCCGGATTAGAGGCCGAGGATGCCCTTGCATTCCAAATGCGAATCTAGCCCATGGCATTGCTCTACTGGCTTCACACTTCAGTTTTCTGTTATCAAGGACAGCAGATGAAGTCTCAAAGAGTCCTGTGCCGTAGCTGCAGAAATACAGCAGCGAAGTACCGACCGCTAAGACTCAAGAGCAGGTGTTCCTGTTAGAGACGCCACTGACGGAAGCTAAAAGAATGCACACAGGTGCATCACTTTGCAGTGTTTCATTGGTTTCAGAGACTCGCAGAAGCCCATCCCTGGATGCCAGGTTGAAGGACCCCCTACTTACGAGGCAGCACCAGAGAGCCAACAAACGGGGGTGTAGCTGAATGCAAGATGATTCTGGTGAGTAAAATCAGCAATGCCACCCCCACCTCTCACCCCGACTAGCTTTAGCATCTGTCTCAGAAAAGGAAAGCTAAAAAGAGTCTCCCCCACTCCAGTAACCATCGCTCCTTAGCCTGCAAGATAAGCCATTTCTAAAAATTCCGGCTCCATTTGACCCATGTGTGCAAGCAGGCATTTTTCAAAAAAGGCAGCAAAAACCAGAGCTTTTTCAAAAGGGGTTCAGTAAACTTTTTCTTTCTCCCAACGCAAGAAGAGCCCAGACTGGTCATTTATCCAACAGAAGAAGGGCACTTTTAAAATAAACCGTTCCTTCAGGACTTGGAAATGAAGTCATGACAAGGGGGAGGGCAAGCTGCTTTCTTTAGGGAGATCCTGAACACCTGATGCAAAATTAAGTCGGTGTGAAGGCTGAGCTAGAAATAGCTTCATTAACATTTTGAACCGGTGGCAAGGTAGGAGTAGGTGGTGCTGATTTTGGTTGGAAACTTCTGGAAAGCACATGGGGAGGGGAGAGGATAAGCCATTTTCATGTTACCCAGCGCTGTGTTCCCTAGAGTGGAGTATCACCATTTTATATAAATTGTAAGCACAGGTAAGGCAGGTGGTCACTACAAGAAAAAATATCTTGTAAACGCTATGGGAGCACAACCTAATGTTAAGAACAAAATTCCTAGGCCTTTAAGAGAAATCTAAAGTAGGAAAAAAAATAAATAAATGTCTACGCTCCAGCAACAGACTGTTTCAGGAACCTTATCTGAGCACAGCGAGCTGGGACAGCGAACGGATTTGGTGGTCAAAGTAAAAGAGAAAGTTCTAGCTCATGCTGTGGAACCACACAGACAAAGATTAAGAAAATCATTTGTTTTAATGTTTGGTCCTCAATCACCTCAACACAGCTCTTCTCAAAAGAGAAGCACTACGTCCACCTCATGATTGCATGACAAAGTCTGTGTGTGGGGCGGGGAGGTGGCAGGGGAGGAGCAGTGGCCCAGGCACACTACAAGTCTAGCGGTGACACCCAGGTGTTCTTGCTTTCTGGATAAAGTACTTGAACAGAGCTGCTGGGCCTGCCTTGCAGGGGGCTGTAGAGGAGAGCTTGAGGAAGCAACGTCACTGCCTGCGGGCCTTAGCTCACCCGAAGGACCCCAAGTTGAAGAACATCAAAGGTGACCCAGCCAAGAACAGACCAGTAACTGCTGCAGAGTGGTTTCCTCTGCAATCCTACAACAAACACAGGAGCAGCTGGGCAACCCTGAGTATCTGTGGAGTGGACACTGACTCAATCTGGAACATTCTCCAGGGTGCCGTGGCAGCCTTTTCTCCCTTCTCTTTGCTCGCCACTTTGCTTTGATGAGGGCTGTGGGGAGCCTGGGTCTGGGGTAGGCATCACCGATCCATCTCACTGTCGATACCCTGCAAAGAACAAAAAGTTTATCGTTAATCGATACGCTTATGGATAAATGCATACCTGCCCCGCGCTGCCCACGGGCAAGCCAGGAGCCTTTCTTGAGGACTGTGACAGCCCTTGGGAACTGTGCGAACTCTAGTTAGTCCTCGCACACTGATCTCAAAGCACGGTCCCCAACCCCTCTTCCTATGCAAGGCGAATTTTAGTATGTGGACATAAATTTTGTCATCATATCCATTATAAACAACCTGAGATGTCACTAATTAAAATGAGGCTAGATTTTAGAGTGAGTCTATCGGAAGAAAAGTATGAAGTAAATACCAGTCTAGATGGTACAGGAATGGAGATGACGAGAGTGGCACGTGACCGCCTGGGCTGATGACACACCTAAATAGCGCCAACCTTTGTACTAGGGCCTCCCTCAGGCGGGCCCGGCACACAGGCTTCTCACCTCTGACACAAGAGCAGATGGGGTAAGGTGCTTCCCGCCTGCAGAGGTCAGCAGGTGGCCTACCTGCTCGTAATCTTCCACATATTTGTATTTCTTCTCCCGATAGTAGAATCTTTTCTTCATGCAGTAGAGGACTATGACGTCACATAGCACTGTGGTCTGAATGTAGCACGGCGAGAGAAACAATGAGAATATTTGAGTCCCTGTTATTCTGTGTGTGCCCCTTCCCACAAAGCCTGGACTCTCTCGAGGAAGAGAGAGAGGCTCCTCCATCTCTTGGGAAAGGCGAGGCCCTGAGGGGCACGGTCTTCGGGAAGGGAAGATGGAGGTGGCGATGGGGGTGAAGGGACACAAGCCCAGAAGGACAAGTCTAGAAACAAGTCTAGGGTCGAGGGGGAAGAGTCAGGCCGTTAGCTGAGGGGCTCACTGGCTGTGCTAAGGACTGCTGAGGAGGGTCCCAGCCCCAGGGGTGAACAGAGGGGTCTAAGTCACTCACCACCCCCAAGAGCGCCAAGCCGGATCCGATGTTGATCATGGTTGGGATGATGTCAAATTTCCCAGCCTGTATGTGATGGGAGAAAATTAAAAGAGTTGCGATCGGGGCGGGCGAGAGCCGGTGAAGAGTGGGGAGGGGGCCCCTGGCCCCTGGCCAGCCGAGAAGGGGGCTGGCAGGGGCCGAACGAGGGCAGTCGGTGGCCGGCTACCTTCCCGAACACGATGATGTCGAAGCGGATGCCGTAGGCCTTGATGAGTGTGCGGTGCTCGGTGCCAGCTGGGTCGTTGTAGTACTTGGCGAACCTGGGGAAAGGACAGGTTACAGGGACAGGCACAGGCCAGCGTGACACAGCGGCTGGACCTACCCTCTGGGTCCTGGAGGGGGCGAGGGATGTCACAATGGAACTCCCTGAGGCCTCGCAGAGTTGGCACTGGCCAAAGAGTCACTCTGCTCTGCCTGCTGAGCAGATGACGCTTGAGCACCTTGGGGCCTCTCCCAGCTCAGGAAGCAGGAGGGCTGGCCTGTTGACAAAGAGGGCGCCAGGGCCCAGGGATGTGGGAAGAGCTCCCTGCTCCGTGGTCGCTGTCACCTCCTATGGTGTAAGCCAGAACCTCTTGTTCTAAATGTCCTTCCTTCCTGGCAGCCGAGCCACCTGCCTCTCTCAAGGAAACCCTGGCCACTTCCAGGGAGAGTGTGGCCAGCCAGCAGCAGTGTCCAAGACAGTGGGTGGGGGTACCCAACCATTCACGAAACTCATAGCATCGGCATTGGGGTTTTTTAAAAAAAAGAATCATTGATCCATCGGTGGATGAATGGATAAATAAAATGTGGTACATCTACACAATGGAATATTATTTGGAAAAGAATCATCCATCGGTGGATGAATGGATAAATGTGGTACATCTACACAATGGAATATTATTTGGCCATAAAAAGGGATGAAGTACTGATAGACTACGAGGATGAACCTTGAACCTTGAACGAAACATGATGCAAAGTGAAGCGAGAGTCGGAGGAGGCCCCACGTTGTCTGATTCCACTTGTATCGAGGACCAGAATAGGCAAATCCATAGACACAGAAGGTAGATTAGTGGAAGCAGATTGCTGGTTGCCAGGGGCTGCGGTAGGTGGGGGACGGAGAGGGGGTGATGGCTAAGGGGTACGGGTGATGGAGATGTGTCAAGGCGATGAGAATGTTCTGAAATTGACTGAATATGCTAAACATGGTTGAGTCTACACTTTAAATGGGTGAGCCGTATGATATGTGAACCTCGCATCGATAAAGCCATAAAGGAAAAGACACGAGGGGAAATGGGGGGGGACAGCCAGTGAGACGCGGTACCGTTTGCTGCCGTTTTATGCAGGGGATCCACTGGGAGCCTAAACTCTTGGCCCACGATCTGTCTGGCCCACAACTTCCCTGTCGTGGTCCGGGCCTGGGGAATCTCAGGAGGGGCCTGATGCTGGCGGAGGTCAGGAGGGTGGGTGTCCTCAAGAGGGTCCCATCAACTTCTCTCTGTTCTGGGGTTCCAGCCCAAGCTTGAGGTTTTCCACAGTTCTGGTTTCTACAAGAACTGTGTGACAGCACAGACAGAGCAACACAAATCTAACTCCCTTACTGAAAAAAAAATTTAAGTATCTACTCTTCTCTCAGTGAGCCAGATGGTTCAAAAGTACAGCCGATCCTACCTGCACTTGATTCCATGCGTCGCCACTAGAGGGAGACAGGGGCAACACAAAAGCATCACTGACCTACTCAGGTGGCCCCTCGGGAGGCCTATTTTTAAGACTGGCCGTGTGTGTAAAAGACACGACAGAAGGCACGTGAAAATGTACGTGGCTTCAGATTGTACTGCCTCAAGGAAGTGGCAAACATGACCCTGGGCCCTGACCCCCTCATCAGATTACCAGCTGTACTGGGTTCAATATCGTCCCCCAGAATTCACGTCTACCTGAAACCCGAGACTGTGACCTTCCTTGGAAACGGGGTCGCTGCAGATGTAATTAGTTAAGACGAGGTCACACTGAATCAGGGTGGGCCCTGAATCCAATATGACTGGTTTCCTAATGAGAAGAGGGAAGGACCCAGAGACACACGAGGGAAGAGGCCACGTGATGACGGAGGTTTGGAGTGATGGGTCTACCAGCCAAGGGCCAAATGACTGGTTTCCTAATGAGAAGAAGGAAGGACACAGACACACAGGGGAAGAGGCCACGTGATGACAGAGGTTTGGAGTGATGGGTCTACCAGCCAAGGGCCACCGAGGAGTGTCAGGAACCACCGGAAGGTGGAGGAGGCAAGGAAGGAGCCTGGCCCTACTCACACCTGGATTTCAGGCCTCCAGCCTCCGGAACTGTGAGAGAACGAAGTCCTGTCATTTCCAGCCCCCGAGTTTGTTGTTGCCTTTTACGGCAAACCTCAGGAAACTAATACCCAGCACTTTCAGCAGAGAAAGACCAGCGAAGGCCTTTCCCGAGGCTAAAACCTGTCTCTCCTGCACGTTGGCGATTCCGGGGGCAGGCCCGGTCTTGGAGAAGCCCATTTCCAGTTCGGGCCCCAGAGGCCTCTTGACTGGAGGATCAGATCGCAAGCTCATCCACTCTGCAATCTGAGCGGAGGTCCTGGCTGAGGCTGGCTCAAGAAAGCTGAAGCAGCCCACCTCTCTTGACCGCTCTGCAAATTGTCTCAATGTATTTCTTGAGGCAAGAAAGGGCATGAAGGGCCCTCTGGGGCCAGGATGGCACAGGCGCAGGGCCCCTCTCTGGCACCTGGCCTCCCCACCTGCTCGTGGGGGCTGCCTGAGAGCTGGTCTTCGGTGGGCGTGGGTTCCCCCACTGGGGAGTGAGCCATCCACCATCACCCCCCACGCACGGGAAACAGGGCCTGAGCTCACATGCACCTGAAATTGTAGCCGGGAGACACATTGTGGTCCGTGTCCCGGGTGTCCAGGCGGCGGAAGGAGTACTTGGGCAAGCAGAGGGAGGCAGCTCTGTCCAGGTTGCAGTCCCACCTGATCTGGATGCCTATGATGCCTCCCTGTGGGTTGCAAGCAGAGACAGAGCAAGCTTTCCTCCGGGCCCGTTCCGGAACGAGGCGTGTCGAAGACCGGAAGAAAAGCCAGGGCCTGCGCCTACCTCGATGGCCATGTCTTGGAAGCTGTGTCCTGCATTCTCCACTATTTTGCCGAGGCGGAAGATGGGGCAGAAAGGATCTGTTAGAGCATCATAAATGCACGATTTGAGGTAGGTCGTGGTGATGTTTGGAAGAATATTCCTCCTAAAGTTGGGAGGAAGCAGAAAACAGGTGCGAGGAAAATCTCAACAAAGAGCCGGAACTGTGTCCAAGACATCGGTGAACTTGCACAGCTGGCCTCGACTTACTTGCTGAAATTAAATTTGGGATACCAGATGTTGTTCTTGACCAAAAGGGTGAAGTTTTCTGCAGCCTTTAAATAAGCAGGTCTGAAAAAAAAATTATAACGTATTGATTATAACATTGTTATTGTTACTGTAAGTACAAATATAAGTACGCTCACATACCTATGTAATATTTTTCAAAAATATATACACGTATGTCTTAAAATGTCATTTTGTCAAAAAAAAAAAAAAAGTCTAGTATTTTCTACTCCTCTGAATAAATACTGGGTCAAGAGAGGAGACCATAGGCCAAGGCTTCTGGTTCCTTCTGCTCATGGCCTCCTGCCCAAGGCCATGGGGACCGAAGAGCCTGAGGGAGAGCTGAGGAGAGGCGGTGCCCAGTGGCCCCGCTGGAAACCACCCAGCTGTGGGGTTTCAGGGTTTGCTGCCTGCAGTTTCTCTCAGGGGAGTGCTCAGTAGATCTGGTTTTACCAAAGTCAAAGCAAAGGTACATTCACCTATAAGCTGGATCCTGACCTCTCAAAATTACACAGAAAGTGGTGTCTGCTGGCCCATGGCTTCTTCTCAGAAGGGCCACGTCAGCTCCTGGCTGACGATATGAGTAGACCTGCCCCCAAGGGGACCCCACTTCTTTGCTGGATTTCTACAAGAGAATCTAGCGCTGTAAGCTGACCCCTCCGTGGGCAAGGCCTCCCCTGAATCAGTTGGAATCTTTGAAATTATAAACCATAGTCTTCCCAACCCTGAGACAGGCGCAAGGCCAGTGACAAAGGCACCCAATGAGGAGAGCTGAGCTTGTCACCACTGCTGACAACTGAAGGCCTTGACCAACACACAGCTCTTGGGGCTTCAAATTCCCTCCTCCCTGTACCAGGGATGGCTCGTGTCAGGGTTTTTCAAACTTCTGCCATTCTCTATGCCATAACTTTTCCCCCACATCTGTGCATCTCATGTGTTCAGTGGCATCTGGCACACTGTTGTGCAATCCTCACCTCTACCTAGTTCTAGAACATGTTCAGCACCCCAAAAGCAAACGGCGTACTCATTAAGCGGTTACTATCTGTTCACTTCCCCCTTCAGCCCCGGGGAGCTGCCAATGCACTTCCTGTCTCTCCGGCTCTGTCTGTTCTGGATATTTCGTATGTGATCTTTCGTGTCTGGCTTTCACTCCGCATCACGTTTCCGAGGTTTCGTCCATGTCGAAGCGTGTGTCGGAACGCCATTCCTTCGTAGGGCTGAATAATATTCCACTGTGGGGATGGACCACAGTGTTCCATCTGAATTTACCTCTTCATCTGCTGGTGAACATTTGGGTGGTTTTCACCTTTAGGATCAACTCACTTGTTTATAGACATTCATTTTGAAATGAAACTTTCTATCATGGCCATAACAACAAAAAACACATCATTTGCCACACGTCAGAGGTCTTTGTTCAAGTAAATAAAGTCAAAACAACGTTACTATAAGCTGTCGTTAGAACTGTCTGCCCATGGTGCCGATGGGGTCTTGTTGCTCATGAGACGTGGATTTAAGTCACTCTAGGCTCTGCGGACTGCTTCCCTCAGTTACTTGCAGCTGATGGCCCCAACACAGAAATAAGCCATCTGCTCTCTTCTCATGACAAACACTGGGACCCGCCTCGCCACTGATGGTCGCTGCCTGTGAGAACCACCACCCCGGGGAAGCCTGGCTCCACGGGGACGCCAAGGGCACGAGGCCACGACACGCGGGCTTCGCTCGCTCCCCTGCCGCCTTCCCTGAGGCCCTAGAGTTTCGGGCACTTCTTTCCCTCGGTCAAGACTCACTTTGGCACATGTGTGTCATTCTCTACCGGGCACCAGCCTGCCACCTCGCACGTCTTCACAGTTGCGTTGAACGGCACACACTTTCCTGTTTCAACTCCTGCAGGGGTGAGGAGGGCCGAGGTCCACAGAGGGTCTCCTCGTCTCTACTTGTGTGAGGCGGAGGGCGGAAGCCTCGCCACAGCAGCCTGTGCAATCAACCTTGAGCTATTCCAAGTCTGGGATTTAGACAGGGTCCAAAAAATTGGAATCGGAGGAAAATGGGTGCCTGAGTCTCTTGTTCTGCCAATTGCGGGGTTGGGGTGAAGCCAAGTCACAGCATAGGGCAAGATCTGGGACGGCTTCTGGGATGCGGACAACAGGTGACTGTCGAGGGGGGTCCTGGGACCTCAATCTGGACACGGGTCACGTGAAGATTTGGGGGGCTGTGGGAGACCTGTTTACCCTGAGATTATCGGAGGAGCCGCACGGGGCGGCAACCTGCCGCCACGTGTTCGTACCGTTGCTGTGGGTTCCCGTGGAGCCAGCAACACAGTTGGCATCTGACTCACACACATTGGTCTCCTCTGGAGTCTGGAAAAAGAAAGGACGAGAGAAAACAAGTTCCACGCGGCCCAGCCCCACGGGCAGTGGGTCAGGCCGGAGCTCTTCCCGAGAAACTGCCTACCTCGGGACAGTGGCCTTGGGTCTGGTTCGTGGTGACGATCATGTTGGTCATGATGAAGAGGGAGTTTTCCTCCTGCAGAGTGGGCAGAGGAGAGAGAGCACTGCCATGTCACCCTCGGTGGAGCCGAGCAGGGTCGCGAAGGAAGCCAGACGCTCACTGAACGGGACAGTGCCTCTCACTTCTCCCACGTGCCATGCAGAGCACCATTTAAGAAACCGATCTTGTGGTCCCCCATTCTCTCTCATGAGGGTTTATAACCTCACTGAAAACAGGGACTCAAACAAATACTTCGAGTACGTGCGTTCACAGCATTATTCACAACAGCCCCAAGGGAAAAACAACCCCAGTGTCTATCGACAGATGAACGGATACACAAATTGTGGTCTACGCCTGTAACGGGATACGACTCAGCCCTAAAAAGGAGTGAAGCACTGACACCTGCTACCACGTGGACAAACCTCAAAAACACA